CTTGTATTGCATGCTATTTTGGCCTTTGATTCGAGCACTTTTTGGCCATGCCTGTGCATGTTTTGGACTGCCTTAGCTCTATTTTTATGCCTCATGGTCAAATGATGCTTGCTATGCATGGTTGTAGTGTAATACCCTTGTCTAGCCTTGAGTTTTGAAGCCTATTGCATGCTTATACTGAGGTGTTTTCATGTCTTGGGGCCATTGAGCATGTCATTTCAGAGCCTATACTTGTGCCATATTCCCATGTATTCCATTCCTTAAAAGTGTTTGAGAGTTGTGCATGAATACCTCATTTATGGGCCATTGTATGAGCTTCATTTCCATGCCTTTCGAGTCATTATTTTAGTCAATTTTCCTACTTTTTTGGGCCTGCATGGGGACTATTTGGGGCTGGTTTGGTCATTTGTGCATTGCTTTGCATACCTCTAGTGTAATGCACTTCACTAGTTTCGGTATCTGGGCCATCTAGTATGCATTGTGTGAGGTGTTTGCATGATTTGGAGCCACTCTGTGTGACATTTCAAAGATGAAAAATGTGCGATTGTATGCCATATTTAATCCCTTGCCTTGCCTTAGTAGAGTTGCACTTTGTGCCTTAGGTTTGGTCCCTCGCATTGTGCATGTTTGCATAAGTGTTGTTGCCTTAATTTCATCATGTTTGGCCACTGATTTGGGTGTGGCTGAGGTCCATCCATCTTGGTTTAAGTCCATCTTGCATTGCATATGCCGTATAGTCCATGTTGTTGCATGATTGACCATTGCATTGTGTATGCCTTGATCATCTCATTGATAGTTTTCATATGTGCATTGAGTATGCCATGTAGCGTCATGTGCATTGAGTATGCCATTCTTAGTTCATAGCATTGCGTATGCTAGTTGCACCCTTGCATGTCATCCCTTGCATGTTTGCATCATTTAGTCGCATTGCATTTAGGTTGCATGCTAGAGTTGCATTGGTGCGTGCATTGTGTGTTGCATCGTGTTTGGAATAGGAGTTAGTCCAAACACGGGAAACGAGGGGCGTTTCGTACTCAAAATGACGAAACGTGCTTCAATTCCCAGTCGCCGACACTCTTGACTACCCATGATGGAGTTTAGGCTTTATTGTGTTCATATGTGCATTCATTTCATATCGAGTCATGCAATTCGACTCCTCGGCCATCATGCATTGAGATGCATGATTGGTGGCACGAGGATCGAGGACTACCCTCCCTAGAGCTTATACAATGATGGGGAGAGTGGTCGTATACACATATGTTGAAAATACTTTGCCATGCCCCTTTCTTGCTCTCTGTTGCAGCAAACCAGAAACCAGCAGCAAAAACTGGTCAGCAGTATCCCTACAGGTTCCCATGGTGGAGTTTCAGCCTTCTGGAGCTTTGTACAGTATTCTGGGACCAGTTGCAAACAGAGGCAAATCGGGGCATCGCGATGGAATTCCCGACGAGGCGACTTGAGCATGCATGCATCCCTATCATTCGGAACAGAACTGAGGTAGTCCATTTTGTTTAATTTGCATGCTAGTTTCCTTACTTACTTAGTTAATTCGTTAATTAATTAATGTTGTGTAATAATTAGTTTAATTAGCTTAGATTAGCTAGTTTATTTTGTACTATTCATTCGGACCCTCCGAGGAGGGCAATGTTGTAATAAGTGTGCGTGTGTGTGATGCATGTCTTCCAACCCCATGTCTTTCTCCCTTTTACTTACTTACATTCGATGGTTAGTTTTAGGGCATGTTTCAATTAGCATCCTTATGCTCGCATGTTTGCATCCATTCATCTGCCTTGCATGCACCGGGCTCAGCGCATCGTACTAACTGCAGTGTATTTCAATTCCAAGTTGAATACATATTATCTGTTGCATTTCACATGCCATTTTAGAAAAGCCAAGCCTATTTCTAGTTGCATTTTGTATGTGTCGCATTAGCCATCTTAACATGAACTAGGATCATGCATTGATTACTAACTAGTTTCTGTTTTGGCTCGGAATACACTGTGAGTGTTTAAGCTTTAGCATCTTGCATGTATGTAAGTGTTGCCATGAAAGCGTGCTTGCCATGAGGCTATTTGCTTAATTGATATAACTGCCTGAATGCCTGTGGGTGAAGGTTGGATTACTTGAATTGGAACAATTCATTGAAATTCGCATTTTAGCCTACTTATGAGTAGCAAACCTCAAACCATTTTCCAAACAAACGGATATGCGATGCTTTGTTCCAAATTAGGCGATCGAGTCTATACTTGTTTTGCTGTGCGCATCACATAGTAATTGTAGCTAATTAATTGGAATAAGAACACATGTGTTTTCAAAAACTAGATATCATGTTTAGTAGTGGCCGATCTTTGATCGGGCGAGCGGGGGTGCTCATTGCATAACCTTCCCCAATCGTACCCAAGTTCCCAAGCCGAGGCAACTTTGGTGATGACGGACACGTGGCCTTAGGCAACGAGTCAGGGTTTCCTAAATTCCCCCAAAATAAAATTTAGGTGATGACTCTGTATCTGGCAAAGCAGTCCATGTTTGGCACTTCTTTCTAAAGATCTGCTTTTCAAAACGATTTGCCGGATTTGGACTCTTTGGTGATTTATCGGTCTCGCATTGCACTGTGCGGGATTAGATTCAGAACCGTGACATTTGAGTCCGAACTGTAGTAAACCCAAATGAACAAAACGAGATTCCCTCCTGGGACAGTCGGGGACGTCTACAGTGTACTACTAGTATTTATTATTATACAGTACTCTTGTCGCACTGCTCTTCGATGATGAGCTTGATGATACAACTATCAAACAACCTTTGATACACTTGGTACTCATAGTTGTCTCTATATCTAGAGAGAGAGAGAGAGAGAGAGAGAAACACAGAAAGACAAATATGATTTTGAGTTTTTTAGTGAGAGAAAGGGGATAGGAACAAGGAACATTAGGAAATGCAAGTAAGTTGATCGTTGACGAATGAATAATGAGAGAAGAGGGTGGAAAGAGCGAGTAACCCAGTATAGAGGGTCAGAAATTAACCTACAAATTAAGATGGGCCTAAGTGCTAAGGTCGCCCCTTTTAGGCGAACTAGAATGTCTAAAGAAGCATAGGCTAAAGCCCAAGGGAAGTGGGCTAACAAATGGGCCGAAGTAGGTTTGACCCACCAAGGATCCAAGCAGACTCCACGAAGAAAGTGTTTAAGTCAAGTTGCAGTGGTACTACTTGTAGTGGTCAAAGTTGCTGAGGCACTTTGCCTCGAAGCCGCCATCTCCAATATTGTTGGTTCTACCACCATTTCAAAGTTGCTGAAGGAAACAGAAAATCGAAGCAACTAAGTTGTTGAGGTAACACTTGAAGCTCACAAGATGCAGAGGTACTTTGTCGACGATGCCATCCTTAATATTGTCGGGGTAGCCATTTGGACTTGCAACGAGAAATGACCACTGCAGCAACTACAGCCGCCTCAACTACGACAACTGCCATAACTAACTCACGAAGGAAGGCACCCCACCAAGGTGATAGCAGCCTTTGGGAGAAGTTTCTCCTCCGCAAGTAAAGGCTGATAGCAGGCCTAGGACTGATAGCAAGTCTCATATCTCATTGGTTAGAGCTAATAGCAAGCCCAAAGGTCATCTAGTATGTCACGGCAACCCCGCGAAGATGGGAGCAGGATAGCCCGAGTGTAAAGGACTCCCTTTCCATTACCCAGGTCATGGACCTGCCTTGGTCGCACATGTAGGACTTAAGGAAGCCCCCTTGGGCTTGGTACTAAGGCACAGCATGGCTGATAGCAGGCTTGGCTGTGCCCTTCACCTTGGGAAGCTAAGGAGTTTGTGGTTAGGTGGCTAAGGGTGGAGGTTTCGTTGAGTAGAACATGAAACATGGCCGATAACAGGCTATGAAGTCCCAAGAATGCATGTATTGGCCAAACTAAGTTAAGAAGATAAGTGTAGTAGCAAGGTCTTACCACCGCAAGTGCACTTTCTAAGGTTCACGCTAAGAAGGCGAGTTGTAGCAGTAAACACTCCTACCGCAAGTGCACTCGCTAAGGCATCTGTAAGGTTCATGCTAAGAAGGCAAGTTATAGAGGCAAACACTCTTGCCGCAAGTGCACTCGCTGAGGCAGTTGTACCAAATAGATAGTACATAGTACATGCAGAGGGATGCGTGTCACTCCCAGCCTGGTAGCTCAAGGAAAAATATTCCATGTGATCCTTTGGGACACATGTCTTCTCTCTATTTGGCCATTTGGTGTCCTCTTGGTACCAAGGAAAAGCCTATAAATAGGACCCATTTCCCAGCCTAAGAGGGGGATGATTGGGGATTTGGGAGAGATGCTGCCTATTTGTGCACTACCATACATTTCTTCTTGAGCTACTTACTTCACCGTCACCTAGCTACTCATTCTCTAGCCATTCCACCATTGTTGGACCATTAGCATAGTTTTACCTCTCTAAGCACTACTCACATAGAACCCCTCTCTACATTTCTGGTGACTTTGCTGGGGAGGCTGCTTGTTGATGGTTCATACCCACAGCGGCTTACATGCTTCACTGGAAAAAATTGCAGAGGATGAAGTTTAGAAGCAGGTCTGACAGTAAGGTTCTTCTAATGGTAGAGCAACACTTGCTAAGGATCATGACCACAGTGTTGTAGATAAAGCAGTCCAGTCACTTCAGGACACAGAAAGGGAGATCTTGACAGCTTTATAAACTCTCACCGAAGCTATCATGGCTACGGCATATAGACCAGCCCCAACAAAAGTGCCTCCACTTGTAGCAGCCCCAAACCTAGTACCTAACCCGTTCCTTGAGAATTAGGCTCCGATCTAGGTGCCTCCGGTAGTACCTCCAATTGCTGGTTCGGCTACCCAGGGGCAAACCAGTCCATTTTAGCCAACTCATTTTGTTACTCTTGCCGATGTACAAGCTACGCTCGAGCAAGAGTGTAGCAAGAAGCAGTTGCCATCTCTTCCAAATCCAGATGTGAAGCCCCTGTACTCCCAAGAAATACTGGCCATGCCATATCTAGCTGGGTATACAATACCCAAGTTTGTGAAGTTTGATGGGAAACAAGGTAATGCCAGAGAGCATGTGGTGAGGTTCATTGAAACTCTTGGTGTCCATGGTAGTGACCACTCTCTGCACCTTCGGGAGTTCTCCAAATCACTCACTGAAAGGGCTTGTAGCTGGTATATGAACTTGGCCCCCAACTTGATCAAGAGTTGGGAGGAGATAGGAAACAAGTTTCATATGAAATTCTTCCAAGTCCAGGAGAAGGTCACAACCCTCACACTTGGGCGAGATGTTCAAAAAGAAGGTGAAGATATACTGGACTATGTTAAGCGATTTCAAGATAAGGCCATTGACTATCATAAACCAGTGGATGAGGCCCACTTGGTCAGCATGTGTGTGGAGGGTGCCATACGCGTCTACAAAATCTTCTTGGTAAACCATATTTTGCTACCTTTTTAGCCTTGGTTGAGATAGCCAAGAACCTCAGTACCACGGGTCCTTTGCATAGATCTCGCGACAGTCACCACTGCTCCCGCAGTAGCAGAGTTGCTACGGTAACCTCCATAGGAGGGAGCCGCTCACAAGGAGATGCGTCGTCCTCCCAAAAGAGGAAGAGTTATGAGGACAGAAACCCATATCCTTGCAGCCTTGAGAATGTTAAAGCCTTAGTTAAAGAATGGGTAGCCGATGGTGAATTTATTTTATCTCCAGTTGATATTCCCCCTACCAAGAAAGGCAAAGAAAGACCAGATTATTGTGTCTATCACAGAGCCACTAGACATCCTACTAGAGACTGTTGGACTTTGAAAAGTGTCTTCAAGAAGAAAGTTGTTGCGAATGAGCTGAAGTTTGAAGATACCGGTAACTGTGATGTGAGAAAAGACCCCTATCCCAACCACAAGGAGAAGGGGAAGAATGTACATATGATTGGTTATCTTGGGCCTGTGCGGGATCAAATGCACATGGCATCCTAGTGCACATGGCATCTTACTATGATAAGTTAGAAGAAATTGCAATGGGCCAACTCCCTGAGACAGTACTTGCGAGGCAAAACTCGCAGAGGATACTCATGCTTAGGCCTTGTAAAACTCTGTCAAGTTTCGTACCTTCTTTAACCAGCTAGGACTGAGCTAAGCCGCCAGGTTAGAAGCAACAAAGGCCCTTATCAACATGTCTGAAGCGCATCATACTGAAGTTGCTAAGGCTAGGGAGTATGTGCCTCGGCATATCCAGGAAGACTATGGGGCCATTACTTTTTCAGAAGCAGACAGAGCATACCCATTCCCTTATAATCACCCTCTTTTTGTCACATCTTACATCCATGATGTAGAATTCAAGCGTGCTTTCCTTAATGACGGGGAATCCATAAACATCATTATTACTGACACCTTTGCGAAAGTTGATATCCCAGAGTCTAGGACGGTTTGCCAACCCATTATTGTGATGGGCTTTGGTAGTAAGAAAAAAGTTACTAAGGGCCATGTTGTAGTGAACTTAGCAGTTGGCGAGATACGCTCTGCAACTAAATTCCACGTGATTGAAGCAGACACAAATTACCACATGATACTTGGCAGAGCTTGGATGCACAGATATGGGGCTATCTCGTCGAGTTGTCACCAATGTGTGAAGGCAAAGTTAGGAAGGTGAACAATGACCATAAATGAGTCTGAAAAGCCATTTGGAGTAGAGGAGGCCCACTATTCTGATGCAGTCTTCTTTACTGAGCTATTTAGTCTTCTTTACTGAGTTATCAGCAGATGAAACCCCAAGGACTAGCAAAGTTGTAGGGGTAAAGTTACCAAAGTGGAAAGACATTCGAGATGTAGAGGCTGCTCCAGAAAGTAGTGGGCAAAAGATGAGCAGCAAGTCCACCAGTCCCTTACCAAATATTGTTAAAGTGCATGATGGTGGCAAGATAGTTTACTACCTATGACGGTCTTGCAGGCCAAACTTCATACCTTGAGAGGATGGCCCAAGCCAAACAAGTATGATGACGATGAGCCCCAAGAAGGGTTGGTGGAGACTCCTGAACCGGCTCCTAAGTGCATGCAAGACAGGCCTAAACTACAACAGGAAGTACTTGCTGAAGTAAACCTTAGCGACTTACCAGGACAGAGCAAGCCTGTGTTCATCAGTGATACAATGGCTCTAGCAGCTAAGGCATAATTGATAACACTACTGAAGTGGTACAGTGACGTCTTTGCTTGGACATACGACAAGATGCCTAGTCTTGACCCATCTCCTGCCACTCATCATCTTGACACTTTTCCCAACTATAAACCAATAAACCAGCATACCCAAAAGTACCACCCCGACCTTGAAGCAAAGATTAAGGAAGAGTTAGAAAAGTGGTAGAGGGCCAAGTTCATTGAGCCTATACAATACCCAACTTGGCGAGCAAATATTGTGCATGTAAAGAATAAGAATGGCCAGATCAGCATCTTGTAGACGTCCCCGAACATCCCGGGAGGGAAATCCCATTTTGTTCGTTGGGCTCACTGCAGTTCGGACTCAAAAGTCACGGTCCTGTATCTAATCTCGTAGAGTGCAATGCAAGACCGATGAATCATCAAAGAGTCCAAATCTGGCAAATTGTTTTGGAAAATAGATTTTTAGAAAGAAGTGTCAAACATGGACTGCTTTGCCAGATACAGAGTCGCCACCTAAATATTTTATTTTGGGGGAATTTAGGAAACCTTGACTCGTGCCGAAGGCCACGTGTCCGTCATCACTAAAGTTACCTCGACTCGGGAACTTGGGTACGATTGGGAAAGGTCACCTCGTGAGCACCCCTGCTCGCCCGATCAAAGATCGGCCTCTACTAACCATGATATCGAGTTTTGAAAACATTATGCATTGTTATTCCGGTTATTAGCCTAGATTTACTACGTGATGCACACAGCATACAAATATAGACTGGATCACCTGAATTGGAACAACACATCTCATGTTTGTTTATTTTGAAAATGGTTTGATGGTGCTACCCGCAAGTAGGCTAAAACGTGGATTTGCCACCCTCGGGTGGGCTTAGAAAACGTGATGGTTTGCCACTCTCAAGTGAGCTTAAAACTCACAGTCAATGCATTATTCCAATTTCAGATAATCCAACCTTCACCCACAGGCATTCAGGCAGGTATGTCACATAAGAACATAGCCTCATGGTAAGCATGCTATCATGGCAGTCACTCACACACATGCAAGGATGCTAAAGCATAAATACTTACCGAGTACTCCAAGCCAAAACAGAAATTAGTTAGTAATCAATGCATGATCCTAGTTCATGTTAAGATGGAGCTATGTTAGAAATCCATGCATGATCTTAAATATACAAAAATGCCTAATGCAACACATGTAAAATGCAACTATAGTAGGCTCGGCTATTTTAAGGATGGCATGTGAAATGCTATAACTAACAAGTATTCAACTCAGAATTGAAATACAATGCAGTTAGTATGATGCGCCGAGCTCGGTGCATGCAAGACAGATGAATGAATGCAAACATGCTATCATACTGTATGCTAATTGAAACATGCCCTAATCTAACCATCATAAGCTGGTAAATAAAAGGGAGAAAGACGTGGGGTTGGAAGACATACATCACACACACGCACACTTATTACAACAATTGACCCTCTCTCGGAGGGTCTTGAAAGAATATTACACAACCAAAATAAATAATGAATTATTACACAATACTAATTACTTAACAAATGAATTAGGTAAGCAAAGTAAACTAGCATGCTATGCTATGTGCAATGGACTGCCTCAGCTCTGTTCCGAATGATGAAGGATGCATGCATACTCGGGTCACCTTGTCGGGAAATTCCATCGCGACGCCTCGCCTAGCCTTTGTTTGCAATTGATCTCAGAAACTTGCACAAAGCTCCAGAAGGCTAAAACTCCACCTTGGGAAGGCCACCAACCAGTTATTAGCATGGGAGACCACCTGCTGACCACCCTTTGTGGTGGAGACGAAAGAAGGTGGTCAGTCTGCCAGAAAATCTGGTCGGCCGACTAGTTTCCACCTCTGGTTTCTGGTTTTTCTACAACAAAGGCAAGAGAGAGAAAAAGCAATGTATTTTCAACAAATGTGTGCATGACCACTCTCCCCGTCCTTGCACAAGCTCAAAGGAGTGTAGTCCTCGATCCTCGTGCCACCAATCACGCATCTCGATGCATGATGGCCGAGAAGGTGAATTGCACGACTCAATATGAAATGAATGCACATATAAGCAAGTAAAGCCAACAACTCTATCATGGACAGTTAAGAGTGTCGGCAACCGAGAATCGAGGCACGTTTCGTCACTTGGAGTACGAAACGTCCCTCGTTTCCCGTGTTCGGACTAAACCCTACTCCAAACACAAAGCAATGAGATGGCATACACAATGCGACTAACATGCAACCTAGCATACGCAATGCTATGGGCTAAACTGGCATACACAATGCACGTTACATAACATGGCATACACAATGCACTTACGAAGACTATCATGTGCACATGAACTAAATGGCATATACAAATGCAAGATGGATTTACACCAATATGAGTGGATCTCAGCCACACTCACATCAGTGGCCATATGATGGAAATGAGACAACCGAAATACATGCAAACATGCACGGATGCAAAGGACCGATCCTAAGGCACAACATGCAACTCTAACTAAGCATGGCAAAGGATGAAGTATGGCATGCAAACACACATTTTCCAGCTCTGAAACATAATGCACAATGGTCCCGAATCATGCAAATATGTCACACAATGCATGCAAGATGGCTCGAATACCGAGACTAGTGAAGCGGGTTACACTAGAGGTACACAAAGCAATGTATAAATGGCAAAACCAGCCCCAAATAAACCCTAGGAAGGTCTGAAACAGTGGGAAAATGGCCCAAAATGATGACTCAACATGCAAAGAAACGAAGCTCATGCAATGGTCCGAAAACGAGGCATTTATACACAACTCTCAAACACGTTTAAGAGTGGAAATCATGGGAATATGACATTCATATAAGCTCTAAAATATGATGTATAATGACCCCAAAGCATGAAAACACCTCAGTATATGCATGCAATAGACCTCAAATCTCAAAGCTAGGCATGGATATTAAACTACAAGCATGCAAAACAAGCATCATTCGACCATGAGACCCAAAAACAGAGTTAAGGCAGTCCAAAACATGCACAAAATCAGTTTAAGGCATGGCCAAAATGTGCTAACATGAAGGGCCAAAACAACATGCAACATAGGCTAGTAAGCATGGTTTACACTACATGTATATGAAGCACATGAGGGGCCACCAAACCAACCAAAAACAGAAATATGGCATGCCAAAATATGGCCAAAAAACCACTGAAACTCAGTCAACACATGTTAGAATGAAGTGTTCCTTTGAAAAGCCAATGAGAGGGTTGTTCCACACATGTATGATGGACACACAAAATGAAAAAACTACCTCTGGACAGAGGTTATGAGAGCCCTAAAACTCACTGAAAAGGGCCTAAAATGAGTCTAGGAAGCATGCAAGTAAAGGCCCCTTGGAAGGCCTTGAAGAGGATTACTCTACACATGCATAATAGACATTCAACATGGCAAAAAGGGCTTTGGACAAAGCCTATGTAGGTCACAAAACTCACAAAAAGTGGCCTAAAACATGGCTTTGAAACATGCAAATAGGGGCTCCTTTGTAAGGCCAACAAAGCTAGTAAACAAAACAAGGGGTGAGAGGGTCACCCCTCTCTGATTTTGAGGCTCAAAAACACATGTTAGCCATTGAAAATCCGCTGGACTTCAGTGGCTAAAAGGCCAAACCAAGGCCAACACAAATGCTCTAATGCATAGCTCAAAACAAGAGGAAATGAAGCATGCAAAGGGGGTAGATGACCCCCAACAGAAAAATGGCCTTAAACAAACATGTTTAGAAGCTCAAAACAAGATTTTTTCAGTTTATGACAAAGCCTAAATATGCTTG